TCAGCAAATGCATGCCTGCAAAGCAGGGTCTTCTGACGGTGGGGGTGGTGCAGGAGAGGGGCCACACCCCAGGTTCACAAAAAGGCAGCCCTGCCAGGGCAGGAGCCCCTGCTCTGCACACAGCCCCACCTGGACATGAGCCCACGGAGCTGAGCCCTCCCCTCCATGGGGCTCTCCTCTGGCCTATGGGGTAGGAAGTGTGGTTCTGGGACAGTGAGAGGGAAAACATGAGAGTTGGAGGGAGGCATGGAGCTTCAGAAGGCCTACGGAGGACCCGTGGGCCCCAGGCTTAGGAATTAGAGTAAGTCTCATTCCTCTGGAGTCTTGAGGCCAAGAGAGCCTCAGAAAAGCGATAAGCAATGTGGTGGCCAAGCCCGCCCCCTGCTGGCTATATCTGGAGTGGCCGTGCCAGGTGCACAGGGCAGGGTCCCCAGGCACACACTCCTGCACCTGGGGCCCGGTCAGGCTGTGTCCAGAGACAGGTAGGGGCAGGGCAGGGCTCTTCCAGGACTGAGAGGCCCCAGATCCCATCTCCAGGTATCTGTCATTGCTGGCTGGGGTATCTTTTGATCCCAGCCACAAGGAGATGCAAGGCCGGAGCAGGGAGGGAGGGAGGAAGGCAGAATTGGGGGCAGTGGAGGGAGGATGTGAAGTGGAGAGGAGGGTGCACCACACTCCTGCCTCTGTCTCGTTCCTCCCAGGCCCGCCTGTGCCTCCTGGGCAGCCAGAGAAGCCACGGCTGCTACCACTGCCGGATTTCCACTCCCACACCCAGGTATTGATTTCCTGCATCATTCATTTGCCGGCCTTGGCTGCTGTGATTAGCTCCCTCTATTCTCCCTATGGAGCCCCCCGCCCGTCCCTCCATGTTCCAGCAAAGCAGAGCTAATACCAGGCTTTAAATGAGGCTTTGCCACCCGGCCCCAGCAGCTCACAGCCAAGCTCGGCCAATTACAAGTAGGCCCTTGGCATGTCCGCAGCCGCACCCTCAAGGGTGCTTTCCAGACTAATGCAATCCTCTCTAAC